GGAGAAGCAGACTCCCTGCTGAGCAGGGAGCCCAATGTGGGACTCGATCCCAGGACTCCAGGATCATGACCTGAGCCGAAGGCAATTGCTCCACCAACTGAGCCACCCAGGTGCCCTTAAAAAAAAGCTTTTAATTACAGTTATCATACAGTGTTATATTAGTTTCAGGTGTACAATATAGTGATTCATCTACATACATCACCTGGTGCTTGTCATGACAAGTGCACTCCTTAATCCCTATCACCTATTTCACCCTTCCCTCACCCACCTCCCCTCTGGTAACCATCAGTTTGTTCTCTATAATTAAGGGTCTGTTTCTTGGTTTCTCATTCTCTCTTTTTTTCTCCTTTGCTTCATTTCTTAAATTCCACATATAAGTGAAATCATATGGTATTTGTCTTTCTCTGACTGGCTTATTTCACTTAGCATGATACTTTCTAGCTCCATCCGTGTCCTTACATATGGTAAGATTTCATTCTTTTTTATGGCTGAATAATATATATATATATATACATACCACCTCTTCTTTATCCATTCATCAACACATCAATACATTCATCAATACACTTGCACTGCTTCCATAATTTGGCTGTTGTAAAAGGGATGCATGGACCCCTTTGAATTAGTATTTTTGTATTCTTTGTGTAAATACCCAGTAGTACGATTGCTGGATCATAGAATAGTTCTATTTTTAACTTTCTGAAGAATCTCCATACTGTTTTCCAGAGTGGCTGCACCAGTTTGTGTTCCGACCAGTAGTGCACGAGGGTTCCTTTTTGTCATCATCGCCAACACCTGTTGTTTCTTGTGTTGTTGATTTAAGCCATTCTGACAGGTGTGAGATATCTCATTGTAGTTTTGATATTGGGCCCTTTTAGTTTCTTTACTTTTTCACATACATTTTACAATTATCCTGCCTATACATACAAAGAATCCTGCTAGGATTTTGTTTGAAATTATTTTGAATCTAAAGATTATTTGGAGAGGTGCCTGGGTGGCTCCATCAGTTAAGTGTCTGACTCTAGATTTTGGCTCAGGTCATGATTTCAGGGTAGTGGGATGGAGCCCCATGTTGGGCTCTGTGCTGGGTGTGGAGCCTGCTTAAGATTCTCTCTCTCTCCCCCCTTCCCTCCCCTCTGCTCCCTGTTCGAGCGCTCACTCTCTCTCTTTCTCTCTCTGTCTCTGAAAAAAAATTTTAAAAAAATTAAAGTTAAATAAAGGTCATTTGGAGAGAATTGGTATCTTAACTATATGGAATCTTTCAGTTCACCAACAGCAATATATCTATCATTTATTTAGGTCTTTTTTTTTTTTTATTCAAGTTTTACAGTTTTTAACATAGAGCTCCTGAACAGATTTCACTAAATTCATTCTTAATTTATCCTTAAAAATTTCATTTTTTTAAGCCATTATAAATGGTATCACTTAAAAACGCCTAGTAGAATTTGCCAGTGTAGCCTGGAGTTTTCTTTTCCCTTTTTTCCAGAAAATTTAAACTATGAATTCCATTTATTTAATAAGTATAGAACTATTCATGTTATTTCTTTGTTCTTGGGTTGAGTTATGATAGTTTATGACTTTCATGGAATTGGTCCATTTCCTCTAAATTAGCAAATTCATGTACATAGGATTTTTAGTAATATTTCTTTAGGGTCATTGCTCATATATTTTTTCCTGATGTTGGCAATTTATGTTTCTCTTTTTTTTGGTCTGGCTAGAAGTTTTCAATTTATCTCATTCATTTGTATTTCTCTGCTGTAGTTCTGTTTTCAACATTGATTTCTGTTCTTATGCTTTCTTTCCTTTTGCTTGTTTTTCGTAGTTTTCTAATTCCTAATATTTTAAGGTGGATGCTTTAATTATAGAGACTTGCTTTAGTTTTTCTTTTTTTAAAAGACTTCATTTATTTATTTATGTATTCATTCATTCAGAGAGTGCGCAAGTGGGGAGAGGGGCAGAGTGAGATGGAGACAATCTCAAGCAGACTCCATGCTGAGCACAGAGCCTGGCTCAGGGCCCAACCTCGTAACTCTGAGATCATGACCTAACGACCCTGAGATCGTGACCTAAGCCAAAATCAAGAGTTGAATGCTTAAGCAACTAAGCCACCCAGGCACCCCATAAGTGCATATACACTTATAATTGCTATGTTTTTTTGTGAATTGATCCTTTTATCATTATATAATGTCCCTCCTTATCTCTTGTGATTTTTCATCTTCTGATGTCAACCTTGTGTGATATTAATATATTCACTCAAGTTGTTAAAAAGTTATTGTTTGCTTGGTATATTTTGTTCTGTATTCATTTATTCAACATTTATTTATTTATTTATTTATTTATTTTTTTAAAAGATTTTATTTATTTATTTGACAGAGAGAGACACAGCGAGAGAGGGAACACAAGCAGGGGGAGTGGGAGGGGGAGAAGCAGGCTTCCCGTGGAGCAGGTAGCCCGACGTGGGGCTCGATCCCAGGACCCTGGGATCCCGACCTGAGCCGAGGGCAGACACTTAACAACTGAGCCACCGTATTCAACAACATTTATTGAATGTCTGCTAGATTAAGCCATCATGAAATTTATATGCCAGTGGGGAGACATTGTAAATATGCAAAAATATATATCACAAAATTAGAGAGTAGTAAGTACTATGAATTAAAATGAAGCCAATTAAGGGGATGGAGAGTGACTAGGGGCTTGTAGATAGAGTAGTCAGGGTGGCCTCTCTGAGGGGGTGGCATTCAGGCTGAGACCTGGATGAAGGATCCACGAGGGAGCCAGCCACACACATGTCTGAGAAGGGGCTGTGCAGAAAGAGGAACAGCAAAGGCTATTCTGTTCAAGGCTCTGAGTCAAGGTGCTTCTAGATCTTTCTCAGTTCTTTATTTTTAACCTTTCTATGTCATTATATTTCAAGTTGGATTCTTGAAAGAAGTGTATTGTTGGGTCTTGCTTTTTCATGTACAATGGTAATCACTGTCTTTTAATTGGTGTACTTAGCTCATTTAAGTTTAATGTAATTATTGATATGGTTGGATTTAATTCTATTTCATTATTTTTGCTTCTTTCTTTTAAAGATTTTATTTATTTATTCATAAGAGACAGAGAGAGAGAGAGAGAGAGAGAGAGAGGCAGGCTCCCCGCTGAGCAGGGAGCCTGATGTGGGACTTGATCCCAGGACCCTGGGATCATGACCTGAGCCAAAGGCAGATGCTTAACCATCTGAGCCACCCAGGCACCCTATTTCTGCTTCTTTCTGTTCTTTGTTCTCTGCTTCATCTTTCCTGACTTCTTTTAAATTATCTGAGCATTTTTAGAATTTCATATTTATTTACCTGTTAGATTTTTAAAAAATTTTTTTTTATTTGAGACAGAGATGAGAGACAGAGAGCATGAGAAGGAGGAAGGTCAGAGGGAGAAGCAGGCTTCCCGCGGAGCAGGGAGCCTGATGCGGGGCTCGATCCCAGGACCCTGAGACCATGACCTGAGCCGAAGGCAGACACCTAACGACTGAGCCACCCAGGCGCCCCTAGAAGGATATTTTTAAAAGACTGTATTGATTGCTAGGTGGAGCACATGAGGCAAGAATAAAAGTAGAGAGACAAGTGTCAGACCAGTTACAGTGTATAATAACTGACATAGAGGCATGAGGTAATGTTGGCTCCTGTAAGAATGGTGAGGTGAATAAGGAGAAAAGTGGATAGATTTAAAATGTATTTTGGGCTGAACTGACAGGACTAGCTAGGGGATTGAATTCCGGTGGGGAGGGGTTTTAGGTTTATGGTTGTTGGAGTATATAAGGATGACCTCCAAGTTTGTAGTTTTAGCAACTATGGAAGAAGTTGATTGCAAATGAAGTGGACATTAAGAATCAAGATTTCCCTGTTGGCCTATTATTACGTTTGAAATGCCTACGCAAATGCAAGTGTCAAGTTGATAGTTAAATATGCAATCTTAAGCTCAGGAAAGAAAATGGAATCTCAAACCTCCCATCTAGTCCCATTACTTCAGTTCATGCTTCCCTGCTGTACATCTCTGGTCCCTGTTTGTACCCTCTCAACATAAGCAGATTGTCAGGAGTTGGCCAGATCTGTATGAGGTATTGTGGGCAATTTGGACTATAGATGGTCTTCAGGTTTATATGTGAGTACTCCAGTTCCAATTCATTCTTTCCAGAGAGCTACAGTTATTCTCCTTCTAAGTCATTTAAATATGCACATTTTGCTCCTTACAGCAAGCTTTATTTTGGACCCTTACAGAATAAGAGATTTGGCCATTATTAGGTTTTAGGCTCTTTTCTGCCCCATCTGAACATACTGTATGAGATTACTCTAGCCGACTTTGCACCTAGAAGGAAGTGTGTATGTATATTCATGTTTGATATGTACTCTGTGGTTGATTTGGTGTGTATGTCAGTTCGTATACCAACATAACATTGTTTTAATTACAGTATTTTTATATTATGCTCTATAATTAGTAGGGCTAATCTTCTTGAATAATTTTAAAGATATTTCTCCTTTTCTCACATATTTATTCTTATAGATGTAGAATTAAGATCACTGACACATTTTTAAGAAGTGTGGATTTTTTCCCTCAGCCTCTTGCTTTTGCCTTGATTATTTGTAAATACTTTCTATTCTTATTTTCCATTGAGAAAAGAGTCTTTAAAGTAGGGCCTATCTGTCTCTTATTATGGTTTTTCCATTGTTTCCTAAAGAGAGGCTGTCAGTTTCCTTTCTATTTCCTTCCTTATGAAGCACCTAGTCTATATAAGTGCTATGTTAATTTCTAGGCAGGGGAGTTATACAGTGAATTAAACAAAGTGAAATAAACAAAGCATATTATGAAATAAAATTGGGAGAGTATACTATGTTTGTAATTAAAATAGTGTGCTCTTGGGAGGACCAAACATTTACTTTGAAGTATGATATGTCGGTTTCTGGTCACTTTATTTTTAAGAATCTTTTTAAACTATCTTTTTTCCTATATTTTTATTTTTTAAGGGTCATACAGCAATGCTTCATACTGGTTCATGGCATCCCAAAATAAAGGGAGAATTTATGACTTGCTCAAATGATGCGTGAGTACTGTTGATAAATCATCTAATACATTCACGTCTTTCAGTATTTTCTTTAACATTTATATTGTAACAAACTTGCCAATGAAGTAGGGATAGAGTATTAGGAATCCTGAGGTTTACATTATTCTTGGTCTTTACTTTGATTTTACCTGATAGTAGAAGGTTTGTTTAAATAAATATGGAAACTATGAAAAAGAGAGTTGGTATAAATTCTAGTATAGTTTATTAGGGAGATCAGTGGATCAGACTGATGCTATTAAGTGGACTCAAATGACTTTGAAGTTATGACTAATAATTTGTTACTTTTTATAATAAAGATTGATATCTGAGTATAATACCTTATATAAGTTTATTGTTTAAGTGATTGCTTTTTGGAAATAATAACTGAAAAAATTGTTTAAATGGTTATTAAGATTCTTCAGCATTGTATCTGTTGGCCTAGGACTCAAGAATACTACAGGGAATATTTGAGCAGCTTTTTCCTATATTGTTATATTGTATGATTAATTTTTAGTATTCAGAGTGGTTCATAAGAATGCACTATTGGTAGTATTATAAATTACAATGGAAAACCTTATAAATTAAAAAATATAGATGGTGTTATTTAGGTGAAACACTATATTTTAGATAAAAAAGATTGTTGTTTTTAGGTTATTTTGTTTCATCTTTTTACTTTCTGATATTTATAATTTGCCTCATTTACCTTCAAAATTCCTGTTCACATTCTTGGATAGTTTATGTTTTCTGGAGTTGATCTTTAGGATAATAGACAAAAGACATAATTTCATTTCCATACCACAGTTTAAAAATTAATTTGATCTAAAGGGAACTAAAATTTGGGTATCTATACAGAATATGACTGGAACAGGATAGTACAATTTGATTAAAATTTCTGGTAAATAGAACCATGCAGTTCTAATTTCTTTTTTATCTTTGTCTTACTATCTTTCCAAAACTTAAATTATGTATGTTTAAAGTGACATTCCGTACTTCAGCAAATCAAGTATCTGATTTCTTCAGGAATTAAACTTAGCAGGTAATCTAAATTAATAGTATCCCATGACCAAGTAAGGTTTATTCTAGGAATGCAAGGATATTTTACAATTCGGAAATTTTGCCATCAAGAAGTTTTCAACATAATTCATTATTAAATAAGTGAAAAGTTACAAATCACATGATGTTATATATGATAACATTGACATTTGATAAAAGTTAGTAGTCTTTCCGAGTTGAAGTTCTAAGTAAAATAGGAATAAGAAGAAATTAGCAAAACTGTTAAAAATTAATTACCAAAATTTAAAGTAAATATTGTATTATGTATTGAAGTACTGGAGCTATTTGCATTTAAATAAAAAGACAAGGAAAAAAAAAAAGACAAAGATGCCCACAACTATTTAGAGCCTTTATGCAGTGTAGATTTAGAGACTTTATACAGTATAGTAAAATAAGAAAGTAAATAAATGATAGAAGTGTTGGAAGAAAACAACTATTAAAGAATAGAGGAGCCAGGCTATTGTGGTTAAAAACTTCTGCTGAAGAAAGCAATTGGAAAAAAAACCAAAACTTTTGTTCTCCAAACTACTAAGGATCATGCCAAGTGGTAGGCTCTCATGGTTGCTAACACAATAACTTTATGACCTCTAGAGAAGCTTATCCCAAATTGATATCCAGGATATGTAAATTAGTAATTTAAAGAAAGGCATTCCATGGTCAAATAAGTTTGAGAAACTTTGAATGTTATATTCCCAGGCCAGTGATCCACAATAAACATTTAAATGGTTTGTATAGGGTTTAAAGAAACATGTTTAACTTTGTTAATCCTCTGAACAGTAGTTTGGATAAAGTTCTAATGCATGACATCACTTTACTGGGTATAAAGTGTAGTTTATTCCATTCTTTGAAAGAGCAAGTCTTCAGTTCTGTGCCCAGTCACTGATGTTCTAGTATATTGTACCTTTGAAAATGTGCTCCAGTTTCCTTTTACACTGTACAAATTAGGCTTTGTCCATACTTTTATATGAAGATCAGTGGGGTTTAACCATAGACCCCAATTATACATACTCTTTACCACCTTTTATTTATTTGTTTATTTATTTATAGATTTATTTATTTTAGAGAGTGTGTCCATACACGGGGGGTGGGGCAGAGGAAGTGGGAGAGAGAGAATCTCAGACAGACTCTGCACTGAGTGTGGAGCCTGATGTGGGGCTTGATCTCACTGATTTCACCACCTGAGAATATGACCTGAGCTGAAATCAAGAGGTGGATGCTCAACTGACTGAGTCACCCAGGTGCCCCTCTTTACCACCTTTTAGAAAAATCTACCATTAATAAATTCAGATGGTTTGTAGTTAGAGTGACTTTCTTTTGGCCTTTGACTTTGAGGGTAGTAATTAGTAATGGGCTAAGCTGTGGGACATCAGCCCAGACACCTATTTCGATCAACAAATACAGTGTGCTCACTGTGTGCCAGGTACTCCTGGATATGATCTAAGTCTCTGCCTTCATGATGCTTACATTTCAGTGGAGGTGAGTGCTTGGAGACAGACAAGGTACAGATGCACTAATAAATTAATATAGTTTTATGTAGTAATAAGTGTTGAGAATAAAATAAAGTAAAGCAGAAGGGTAGAGAAAGAGAGAGTAGAAGTGTCTATTGTATGTAGAGTAGTCAGAGAAAGCTTCTGAGGAGGTGACCTTTTAGTTGAGAATTACACCATGCACAGGAGGCAGCCCCAGCAGAGAGCCTTCCAGGCCAGAATGGCAGAATAATTCAAGACCTTAAGAAGGGAATGTATTAGAGCATATTGGAGGGGCAGAAAGTCTGGTTTTGTTGACATTTTGTAGGTTGATAGAAAAGGTAGGAATGACAGGAAGTGAATTTGGAGAGGAAGGCAGGGACTAGATCATATAAGGCATTGTAGTCTATGGTATAAAGGGTTAAGATTTTAATGTAATTATAAGGCCAGTCAATAAAGAGTCCTAAGTCTGCCCTATAGTATTATTGAAAATCAAAATCATAGGAACGCTCACTTTACAGGGTATTAAAATTTTCTAGTGACCTTGACATATTAAAGGCCATGAATGAACATCATACTCAATGGGAGAAACTGAGAACTTTCCCTGTAAGGTCAGGAACAAGACAGGGATGTCCACTCTCACCACGTTTATTCAACATAATACTGGAAGTCCTAGCCAGTCAAACAAACAAACAAAAAGAAATAAAAGCATCCACATTGGTAAAGAAGAAGTAAAACTTTCACTATTTGCAGATGACATAATACTATATATAGAAAACCATAAAGACTCCACCAAAAAACTACCAGAACTGATAAATGAATTCAGTAAGGTCACAGGATACAAAATTAATGTATAGAAATCTGTTGCAGTGTCTGTACACTAATAATGAAGCAACAGAATGAGAAATTAAAGCAATCCTATTTACAATTAACCAAAAATAATAAAATACCTAGGAATAAACTTAACCAGAGGTGAAAGCCCTATAGTCTTTCTTTTTTAAGATTTTATTTTTAAGTAATCTCTTTACCCAGCGTAGGGCTTGAACTCACAACCCCATGATCAAGAGTTACACACTCCACCAACTGAGCCAGGCAGGTGCCCTGACCTATATTTAAAACTATAAAACATTGTTGAAAGAAATTGAAGATGACACAAATGGAAAGACATTCCATGCTCATGGGTTGGAAAAACATATTATTAAAATGTTGAGACTACCTGGAGCAGTCTACACATTTAATGCAATTTCTATCAAAATACTAACAACATTTTTCTTTTTTTAAAGATTTTATTTATTTATTTGACAGAGAGACACAGTGAGAGAGGGAACACAAGCAGGGGGAGTGGGAGAGGGAGAAGCAGGCTTCCCACCAAGCGGGGAGCCCGATGCGGGGCTCGATCCCAGGACCCTGGGATCATGACCTGAGCCGAAGGCAGACGCTTAACGACTGAGCCACCCAGGCGCCCCCTAACAACATTTTTCACATAACTGTAACAAATAACTCTAAAATTTATATAGAACCACAAAAGACCCTGAATAGCCAAAAAAGTTTTGAAAAAGAAAAGCAAAGTGGGAGGCATCACAATACCAGATTTCAAGTTATATTACAAAGCTGTAGTCATCAAAATAGTATGGCACTGGCACAAAAATAGACACATAGATCAATGGGACAGAATAGAAAACCCAGGAATAAACCCATGATTATATGACCAATTGATCTTTGACAAAGCAGGAAAGAATATCCAATGGGAAAAAGATAGTCTCTAACAAATGGTGTTGGGAAAACTGGACAGGTACATGCAAAAGAATGAAACTGTGCCACTTTCTTACACCATACACAAAGATAAATTCAAAATGGATTAAAGACTTAAATGTGAGACCTAAAACCATAAAAATCCTAGAAGAGAGCACAGGCAGAAGTGTCTCTGGCATTGGCCCTAGCAACATTTTTCTAGGTGTGTCTCCTGAGGCAAGGGAAATAAAAGCAAAAATAAACTATTGAAACTACATCAAAATACAAAGCTTCTGCACAGCTTTAGAAACAACCAACAAAGGGTGCCTGGGTGGCTCAGTCATTGGGGGTCTACCTTCAGCTTGGGTGGTGATCCTGGGGTCCTGGGAACGGGCCTCACGTCAGGCTCCCTCTTCGGCGGGAGGCCTGCTTCTCCCTCTCCCGCTCCCCCTGCTTGTGTTCCCTCTCTCGCTGTGTTTCTCTCTGTCAAATAAATAAATAAATAAATAAAATCTTTAAAAAAAAAAAAAGAATCAACAAAACTAAAGGTAACCTACTGAATGGGAGAAGATATTTGCAAATGACTTATCCAATAAAGGGTTGGTATCCAAAATATATGAAGAACTTATACAACCTAACACCTAAAAAATGAGTAATCCAGTTAAAAAACAGGCAGAAGACATGAACAGACATTTCTCCAAAGAAGACATCCAGGTGGCCAACAGACACATGAAAAGACGCTCAACATCA